TCCCAGCACTGGAAAAATTGTAAATTCAATGAAAGTTTTGGAAAAGTCATGGAATTTTAGTATCTCTTTCACACAACTACAGTGTTCTGTTCAGTTATCATTAGGCTATTATGATTATTTTTGAATGTATACACCTTTTGTTTAAAAGAGACGACAATAAATTCATTGACAGTATTTTGAATGTTAAAAACTATAATACCAGAACACAAGGTGAGTGGAAAGGGTTAACATTTTATATTTAGCCCTAAAAGTACGATCAATTCTACACTTGTAGGGTGCAGTAAAGTCACGGAAAATTCACTTTAGGTCATGAAAAAGCCAAGGAAAAATTTTTAAATTTTGTCAGTGAAAAAGAGTGGGAACCCTGCATATAGTGATAGTTTTCTATCACTTTCTAACTACCTTTTACCACTTGGTCAGGAAAGATTGGCAGTTTAAAAACACAGAAAAGCACTTCCTGAACAGAGTATTTTCTGTCCGAGAGAAGAACTCAGCTTAAAATGCAGGATTTGTATATTAAATGTGTGTGAATGAAACTAAACACAGCTCCTGGTATGTTATTATAACACAGATCAGAAAATATCGTAGTATGGACATTTTAACTTGATCTTTTTTTTTGCTCTTCACTACTGCATGGGTTAGTTTGATGTGACCCATATCTCTCTATATAGGTAAATGCTCCTTTGCGTTTCTAACACACATGCCCTCTCTCAGTCAAACCTCTTTATTACAGTTCACCCATACAACTATTCTCATCATATCACCTGCATCAACCTTTCCATGGCTCCCTTTGTTACTCATCGTCCTTGTCAAACGTGAAGAGGACAGTGACGGCCAGGCCCTGTGTCCTTGAGCGTGAGGCAAAGCTCTACTATTGACTGGCATGATGATCTGCTCTTTCCTTGTTCTTCTGCACAATCCCCCAATAATCCCCCCATCTTAGCTGCCAACATGACACACACGTCCCTCCCGACCACAGGGGCCTGGTGCTGGAGACCTACGCTGTCACCACTTATTATATCAGCGCCAGACAGCCATGACCAAAAATAGAGAGGAGACGCTGTGAAAACTATACCTGACATGAGAAATCTGTAATCTTAATAAAGCAATGTGAAGGAATCAATACGTGTTGGTCCGATTGTTTGACGTTGTAGGAATCATTGAACAGAAATGAAATAGGCAGCAGAGTAAGAGTCATTTTAGGGTAACATATTAGTGGCGAGCTAAGAGTACTTGGTTCGCTAGTTAGTTAGTGATGAAAATCTAGGGCTATGTTTTGAATAGACAAATGATCTCAAAATACCATGTATACATAGCAAATTGAAATCCATGAATATATAATTACAATTCCAGAGCATCCATTGCTATGGAATACACACTTTAGATTAAGGACCACATATTAAGAGCTAGTTAATAGTAAACTGCACAATAAATGCTTAATTACACCTTTGCTAGTATTTATAAAGTACTTTAAATCCATTTTTGTCTAAGGCTGTATTTTGCAAGTACTAGCCCATTAAATATTTTCTTCCCATTAAAGTAGTGGAGATTACAATAGATGTTTATGCACATACACTGAAACCTTAATAAGCATTAATAACTGTGTAATTAACACTAATAGCTAAGTAACAGCTAATTAACAAACCAATTACCACTTAATGAGCTATTAATATGTGGTCCCTAAACTAAAGTGTTACCAAAAATACTTTCATAAGTCCTAAATACTAACAAACAAATTGTATTTACTACTTACAATAACGTTTAAGAGTTAATTAATATGTGGTCCCTCAAATGTTACAGACAGCAGTTTTTTAGAAAGAGAACTTTATTGATCCACAAGGGAAATTATTTGGATACAGTAGTAGAGAAACAGTATAATGGTACTAATAAAAGTTTATAGCCTAAGATGGTCAAATGATATGTATATAGGAGTCTGTTAATAGCTGTCAATAATAACTTGTGACAGTGCACTTTCTAAATATGGGGCTGATTCATCCCTCAATCTGCTGAATTATTTATGCATTAATATAGAAGTTAATGCATTAATATTTATACATTAATTTTGAGAGATGGTATTAATATTTATATATGCCCTTTTGTAAACATTGCTTGAACATTGTGGTGCTGCAAGTTAAGCAGCACCCCAATACATTTTTAATATTTGAATTTTCCTCAGCCATCCAAAGTCACCAACTGCAGATATGCATGTGGTTAAAAACTGACGTGTGTAAAGCTAGCGCATAGAACATTCGCAAGCTTTTATTTCATTGTAGCAATTAGCACTTCATAAGCTCAACAAGGCATGCTAATTTACTTATCTAACCTTTAACCACTAACCCTTAATATAACATGCTAGAAGCTACTCACTTCACAAAAGGCTATATTGTCTAGAAGAATAACCCTTGTTTTAAAACACTGTGTACCTGTTTACTAATCTTTAAATGTCACTATGAACAGGCACGCCAAAAAATATTTATTACGATCTAACACCAGTTTTTATACAGTTTTTTTAGGGATGAGCTGAGCTCAAACAAACACACATTTGGTGCCACTAGAAAATATTTTTGACATAATCTAGACAAGACACATCCCATATATTTGGTCTTTGGTTGTTTTTAATTGAAAGCTGTTTTAACAATAACTCTGATAACTTTGTGTATTTTTTGTAACAGCCATGTATATGGGTTGTTTACATAATTGTTCAGTTTTGCAAATAATCTAATCTACTGTATACAAACAGTACCTGTAAAAATGTTAAAATTATTAAGTTAAAAATAATAATAAATATATATGACAAATGAAAAATCGTATGACCTTCACTAGATTGTGTCCAACCCCGGTTATTAATAGCTTTCAGGTGAATTTATCTCAAGTCATTGTAAATTGTCTACCTGTCAATGACACACACACACACACACACATGCATAGCCTCTGTATGTTGGGTCTCTGTCAATGGCAAAAGGCGACAGACATTTTGTTGTCTCCAAAGGTCACCCGGTTGCATCCAAGTCCCGGTCGGCACGGGAACAAACCAGCGCGTCCATTATCTCGCTTTCTCCCGACTCCTTCCTGACATTTCAGCCGAGGAAGAGGAGGATGATATCTCCCCGTCTTCCTCCTCCGAGACTGGCACGCTGCATGTCTGTCTATATTGTCCAAGAGCTCGGTTGCTACGACGCTAACCTTTTCTTCCGCTGCTCCCCACTGGAAATTTTCGAAGATTTACGAGCGGAACTTTTAAATTAACATGCAGCGCTACACTCTCATTCATTTTCCCAACCTGACTGTTAGCGACATGAAGTGGCGCTAACAAATTCATTCCCTGCAAACAAATATTATGTGCATCAGTGACCCTGTTGTGTGGAAATGATTTAAGAGACCATGGGACAGATGGAACAAAATGGCTCCCCAGTCTAATTGTGACAGATATTTTTTCTCAGGTAAAAACATGGAGCTTTCATTATAAGCACAAAGAAACCATGCTGTCCTATTTTTCCATATCAACACATTAGTTTCATTTACAATATGAACAAAGGTGCAGTTTGACATTCGAGTCTGTTGGTGGTGCTGTGATTTTTTTAAAGACTGAAACATCAACAACCCTTATAAATATTGTTCCCTTTACAACTGCTGTGATTATCAACAAACAGGACCCATGGTCACAGAGTAATGGCTGGCATTTCAAAATCAAATCTTTGCTATTCTGGACCTCCAAAATGTGGCTGTCATCAAAATATTTTGCCAAAGCTGAAACAAAACCATTTTGATACAACACATTTCAAGTAAACAGTGCTATTCATTTGAAACTGGCATTTCTTGTCCAACACAATTTTGTCAAATAGAATAGTAATACAATTTGCAAAATAAATGTTTAAAATGTTACCCTTGGACCCACAGATATAATGTATTTTAAGGGCCCATTTTACACCATTTTCTGATCTGTTAGAATGTTTTTTCCTCATGAAACTCATACTCAGAATTTTGTTTCATTCACACGTTTAAAACCAAATCCTGCATATTTCGGATGAGTTCTTCTATCAAACAGACAACACTCTGTTCCATCTTGTGATGTCATGTGGTGATACAGGAAGTGCTCCACTGTGATTTTAAACTCCACACACCTTCACTAGAATCATATGTTCCATTTCATAATTGCCCATCACTTCTGAAGAAAAGACAAAAGGTAGCTGAAAACTGTCGCACCATGATATCACAAGGTGGAACAGGGCATTTTGAGCTTTGCAGATGTAGACAAATTAATAATTAAAGGTTACACACCAGATATGTTTGTGAGTAAGTTACAGCATTAGAACATGGCTTAATGCTCACAAGGGTTGATTTTGTGTAATAGAAGAATAGGGCTCAAGAAGAATAAGGGCTTAAGACTTTACACGTTCACAATGGATGCAGATATTCATTCATTGTGAAGTTGCAACGTGCCTCAACCTTTAGTGTCTCTCATTGTGTTGTTGGGTCACAAATAGAATAGCTTTATTATCACGTAGCAATTAATCTTTGACTTACTACCACATAAAGACGGGACATCACAAATTGCATGGAAGCAATAGTAGCCCTACTAAAATACAGCAAGTGCTCCATTATTAATTTTTTTTTTCTATAAAGTACCACACCTTTCATTGTGTCCCATTGTGTTGCTGGATCTACCACAAAAGGCTCTCAGGAGAACTTGTTTAGCTAAAGTCTGCATATGTTTCACAACCATCTAGTTTTATAATGCATGTGAAATGTGTCATAGTAATACATTATTAACACCAAATCTGATTTCTATTATTGAGAATATGTAAAACAGCACCAAGAGGTTTGAGATAACTTCAGACATCCAATGCACAACCCACCATGATGCATTGTTTACCGCACCAGCCTATCTCCAAATATCAAAATCTCCCATGAATATGGATCTAAACCTGCGCAGTAGCTGAAAGACTGATGGTGGCAGGATTTGGATGCCGATTTTAATCTTTCTTTCTTTTTTTCATCAGGAAGCCATGAAGGAGAACCACAAGAAGAGGGAGATGGAGGAGAAGATCAAGAGAGCCAAGCTGGCGAAGGAGAAGGCTGAGCGCGAGAAGCACGAACGCCAGCAGAAGAAGAAGCAGTTGATTGACATGAACAAAGGTACGCCACTGCCACCTCGGAGATGCGCGGAACAAATGGGACCCAGATAAGGGATGGGGGTAGGGAGCATCACAATGTTGCTTCAGAACCAGGAAGCAGTGAGATAATGTTGGGGAATGTTGGGCAATAGGGGGAGTCGGATTTTCAACTGAGAGGGAATCTTCCAGTTACTCCCAGAGCTGTCGACAAACAAGAGTGAGATTATGCCATTTTTAGCTTCTCTTTGTCCAATGCTATAGGCTTCCTCTATAGAATTGTGACAGACGTACATTTCAATTGGAACATATCAAGATGGATGTGACAATAGCTTCATCCAGAATACATGAATAATACAGTCGTGAGATGGGAAAATGTAGGCTAAGGCTTACTTGATAAAATTATATAAGTAGGTTAACTTGCCATGCTTTGCGCGGACATTACATAGACCTATATTTGTTTCTAATAGACTGATTCTAACCTTAATTACACATTACACATTGTCTAATCTTAAAATAAAACCTTAAACTTGAGGAACTTTAAACCTACATCATCTAGCCTAATCTAAAATGATCTAGTACTGAAAGATTTACCTCATGGGGACCTGATATTTGTCTTCCTCATGGAGTCAGGTCCCTTGAAAGTGACTTATTTCAATCCCCACAATGTGATAAATGCCTGCCCACACACACAATGGGCATCTTTTGAGCTGTTTGATTGCCTCATAGTTCTATAAAATACGTCAGATTTCAGTGTTACAAGCCATAGGAATACACAGGCCATTAGCCCCCCTCTGTGACCCGCCGTTGTTCTCACTTGTTTTCTGGCCATGCAGAAGGTAACTGACAGATAATCATCTCAGCCACGGCCTGAGAATGCTGGCGGGCATGCGCTATATTTATTGTGGTGAATAATTTCGAATTACCCCATTGTCCAGCAATGCCAGTAAAGTGCGTATTGATTGGTGTAAGCTGTTGTTGTTCAGCCATGAAAAATAAGAGTGACAGAGCGAGTCGCCTGAGTCTAGTTATGCCAATGACATTGAGAAGGAATTTCAGGCCTGAAGGAGCCAACAGTCAGTGTGCTCTTTTGTCTATTTTTTGACAATCAGACTGGAGTTTTCACAATCCACCAGCTTCTAAATGTCAGTGGCAGCCCAGGCCTGTGGAGCTGAGCCACATCGTGAAAATGTGACAAGACAGTCCTCAGTGTGCCACAAACTCTCCGGGATAATTGATGCATGCTACATTTTCCCTCAGAGCAGTGACCTCTTTGAAAGCTTCACTTTTAATAATCCAACATGGCTGAGCTGAAAGAGCCTGTCTAGTCACTTTCTCATTCGGGCTAACCAGATGGAGAAGGCTGGAGTAGTAGGTATAATATGAAATATTTCTGCCAGAGCAGATTTTGATCTCACTTTCTGGATGCCATAATATGACTTGTATGAATAAAACATGAGGATGACATGAGCAACATTGCCTGCAGCCTTGGAGATAGTGGGTATTGTCCTCCACTGCAACAGCCGGCTCACTGGACTGTCCCTATCACAATGACCTTGGCAGTTATGAAATGCACTTTAAAAATTCAACATGTGCCCAACTTGGTCAGCTTTCTTTCCTTCAAGGTCCTTACCTGCTCCGACTCACATCTGATCAAACCTTGAATAGTGCTCCTTTGTGTACCAACTTGTCTCACAGTGAAATGCAATCAAAGGAAGCATAATCAAATACGAAGGTCCTTAAAAGGATCCTGTGAATGCGACGCTGAACTTGAGCCAGGAGCAGGTTGGAGGTTACACCAGCCACTGTGTGTTTTTCTCAGAGCTATTTACTCACAAACAGACGCGGACGGATATTTTGTATTTTCCTGTTGCACATTTTTCTTTCTCTCTGCCTCGATCCCTCTCCATTTGATAGCCTTGGCTTGAGAGCCCCAGCTTTTTCTCCTCTAAAATTCTATATGTGTTTCAGATGTATGAGGAGTTAGTTATTGGACGAGACTTTTTACATCAATATTTCATTGCTGGAACCCACTGTGTGTATAGATATATATACGGTGCAGGCTGAAGAGAATGAGGTAGCATGCAACTCAAATCTGCCGTGAATATAAATCCCTTTTAATAATCATATCCAAACATTTTCTATTTAACATTTAAAAGGTTGTAAAGGGTAATGGAATTGCTTGAATGGACCCAAGGTTGAATGGATTACTCTGGTTATAATTATTCAAAACCTTGAGTTTTCATATTGACAGACCAACTGGCACAAACATACACGGAGAATGCAAAGCCATTGACCTAAAAGTGCTGTATTTAGTATTAACAATCCCATTAGCATTAACAGATGGTGAAAGCATATGCGTTGTATTTAAGTATATCGTCAGTGTATTTATAGATTTAGTTGTCATAAGGCTTTGTTGCGTCCTACTATTGTCTTTGATGCTATTTCAAAAGTGCTATTTCTGAGTGCGTGTGTGTTGGGTAGATTTAGTGTCATTCCACAAATTGCGACCTAATCCTCTTCCCTTTTTGCCAATGATTAACAATGAAATGCATATTTAATGAGAGTTTAATTCATTTAGCGTTTACCAGGATGGCACCAAAGTGGGTGGAGGGCGCCAGACAAATGCGTTTTAGGCACCAGATAAGCTAAAAATAATAATCGCTCCCATTTGCCACTTGATGGAACTTGAAGCCTCGGAAAACGCACTGACATTTTGCACTCCTTCAACAAGCCTGATTGATGGATGGGACAGACGTAGAGCGGAGTGTGTTTGCCTTGTGAAGTATTGCAATTGCTAACGACAGAAATTGCTTATGAAATGGTTACGCGGTCACCCCATTCGTTTTAATCTCCCCTAAGTGGGTTTCCGTATCGGGTTGAGCTGACCAGATGTTCCACATTTGCCAAATCACTGGGGCTAACTGTTGAACACTGTAGAACAAACTCAAACTTATTTTACAGCATACATCAGAAGATGGGAGATCTTTCTTTTTTTTTTTTTTTTTTTTGTTAGATATTTTCATCCATTAAATAGTACATTGTATGGTTAGCTTCCATTGTGGTTTTCAAGTTTATGAGAAAAATGGCGTTCTGTCCTTGCTGAGCTGAGAGCTGTAGTTTGAAAATATGTCTTGGGTGAATCTATTGTTTTAGTAAAGTTGTGTTTGGTTGTCTTAAAAAAATATTTAATATGCTCAATTTAATGAATGGATTCATATCAGTGGATTTTAATGTTATGTTTATATGCCATTTTGTGAACTTTTCAACATTCAGAAGATATAATATTTAGTGTTTAATTCTTGGTTCTTATGCTAAAGCAGCTGTATCACTCTGAAACCCATGGATAACTTGAATATCAGGGGTCCCAAATAAGCCACCTCGTAGTTAAACATATTAAAAGGGAATGTCAGTGTGGCGTGTAGAACAGAGTGTGCAGAGCGTGTCGGTGGCCGGGTGGGCGAACAAGCCTGGTCCCAGTGCATGCGGTCTGGATGTCTTGGAGGCATTAGTGAGGCAGCTCTCCGGGGTCAGTGCCCCTGTCTGGGCCTGATGTCTGGGCCTAATGTCGACTCCCCAGTCTTCTCCACTAAAGCTTTGGACAGAGCTCCCGCTGCGCTGGACACCATCAGAGCTGGCACTGGCCTCAGAGAAGTAAACAAACAAGCTGCATGTGAATGTGTCACTACTGTGAGCAGGTGGAGGAGAGAAGAGTGAAGAACCACTTCAACAACTCTTCAACTAGGTTATGATGATGTTAGCTCTCACTGAACTTTATATTACTATGAGGTACATGGAGTGATACACACTTCACAAATGCAGTACACGTGTTCAGTTGTATTACACAAAATGGATTCATGTGAGCCATGTTTATAATGTTGTGAATAACATACCAAGAATTGTGTTTTGTTTCATTCACACGTTTGAATAACCCTTCATCTGCCTAGATCTCCTAAGCTCAAAATGCTCTGTTCCTCCTTAGTTTTAAGGTACAGCTAGCTTTTACTTTTAGGTCAGTTGAGACCGGCAATTTCAGGGCTTTATTATCCAAATGACTGTAGTGAAGGTGTATTGAGTTTAAAAACACAACTGAGTATGTATTTCTACCTGACAACACAAGATATGTTTTTAGTTTGAGAGCATTTGAGACTAAATATGCAGGGTTTGTGTTTTAAACTTGTGAACACAAGTGCCAATATTTTTTTTATTAGATTTTTTAATGAGGAAGCAACATTATAACACAGATCAGAAAATAGCGTAATATAGGCCTTTTAAAGTAATTACAACTCTTCTATATTTGAAGATGAATAAACAACTATTTGTGACCTAAATGAGCACTATTGTTTTAAACCTCCATAGCAGCTGTCAAATGCATTAAACATATGCAGTGGCTTAACAGATGGTGCTGTTATGGTAAACTTAGCTGTGAACTTCATTTTTAATCTTAGAGTCTAGTGCAGTCTCATATGCAGGATACTCCCAATACACCAAATGCCTGTTTCATTTATTCACTACAGTTTAAATTAGACTCACATTTACATTGAAATGCCACAGATACGATGAAAACATTTTGAAGTTTGAATAACACACATTTAATATTCACCTTCTATATAAAAGGGCCCATATTGTGCTTTTTTTTGATCTGTTATAATGTTGTTTGCTCATGAAAAACATACCTGGAGTTGTGTTTTGTTTCATTCACACATGTTTAACACACAAACAATAGGCTGAGCTCTTCTCTCAAACAGAAAACACTCTGTGATGTCATGTCATGATATAGGAAGTGCACCACATGTCGTACGTTTTGTTCCCAGTTTGTTCAATCAAATTCTACCTAATAATATTTCATACATAATGTATAATACAGCACAAATCAATTATGCAAAAATCAGCCTTATTATTTAGTTTTTGTATGTATTTTCTTTATCAACAACACCAATAGAACAATGCATATACCGGCACAGGCTTCACACTGACCCAGTAACATTCTGTATGGGTCATTATATTCTTGCATGGCACAATGAA